AAAATATGAAATAATAAACTATATATATATTTAATGTCCTCTCATTCATTATTAATATATTAAGTCAACTATAAAACTTCCTACTTCCCAAAGAAAAATTATATTTACTTTGTTTCTGCAAGTTTCTTCAGCTTTCTCGGACTTGAGAGCTTTGGGAGCCTTGGTTTCTTCTAGATGAATCTCTCCGAGTTTACTGAATATTCGAGCCACATTTATGTTGCTTTTACTGGGAGATTTTCCAGGAGTTTTTGAGATTTTGGCCTCTGCAGCTTTTCTATCAACAGCATTCTCCATATTATTATTATTTGTTACAGTCAGTTCTTTTTCGTCATCCTCTTTTCTGTTGTTGTTGTTATTATTATTTGCCTTCTGTGCTCGATAGATGTCACCCTGAAGCCACAGGTAGGCCTGCTTTCTAATCAACAAAACAAATACAAAATACATTGTACCATATATATCTGTAAATTTCACATCTTATTCACTTCAAAGGATGACTGTCAGACATTAACTCTATCACTATTGGCTACTAATATTTTTAGTAGATAATGTTTCTCTTGTCATTTTTCGTTCTAAAAATAAAACTAGTGGATGAAATTGTTTAAAATTTGACAAGAATGTTCCTAAAAGTATACAGTGTCAGAAAAATGAAATACTTAATTTTGATTTTTTCAACTCTTTCTAATAAAAATTTGTTATTTAATGTAGTTTTTTGCACTCGCACTTTGAATAGTTCACCTGCAGTTTGACCTTACAGTTTTAATATTTCATTTGTATAATCTCTAGAACCTCAAACAAATATCAAAAGTTATTTAAGGTAAATATTTATATTCTATTTTCCATTTTCTCTACTATATCACTAACTATCTATTATCATCAATATACAGTGCCATGAAATGTTTAAGGTTAACAAATGGAAATATGTACATACTTTTCAATTCTTCATGGAAATCTGCTAGAATATTCATATTTTTCTTATGTGTAATTTCAAGTCTATCTTTTCAATTATAGTTTATTTTTAATTTTCCTTTCAAATTCTTTGTCTACTATTATTTATGCACATATGTTAACTGATGCCCACAGAATTTTACGAAGGTATTTCAGCAGACTCCCCGCAGATATGCATTGCCAAAAAAAAAAAAAGGTGCTTATACATGCTATCTTGTTAATAACTTTTCACAATCCAGGCAACAAGTTAAACTTATAAAAACCATTAGACTGTTCAAATATGATTTTTAAAAGAAACGTAATACATAATTAATTAAAATATAAAAGGAAAACCTAAATATAATATAACTGCTTCTCTAACCATAACATATTTAGTTAGGTAATAAACCACTGTACATGCTATGGTTGATCAAGCAGACAACTCTACAAACAGCAGTTACATGTACATTGTAATGAAAACTGCACGCTAATTTCAGATTAACCATTGGAATAGTGTAAACTGAGCTCTTTCTAATGACTATATATACTTGTATCAATTAATTAAATGTTCATGTAGATCTCAAGGCAAAGTACAGAAGGTGGGCATGGTAACCATCAACAGTTGGAAAATTTCTCTCTGTTTCCCAGACAACCCAGTTTGCAGACTTTAGATCTCGCATGTCAGTTAGGTCAAACATATGTACTTAGTGTGTAGAACTGCCTGTACATGCCAGCTTGTGTGTCTAAGAGAGAAACAGTGTTAAAGTCATGATTTTTAAAATTACATGGATCACGTGACACAACAACTGAAGTTTAAGTATTTTTTAAAAGGTTTCCTTTGAAACAAAGTAATTCAAACATAGATAACATAAAAATTCAAATTATAACATACAAAATAATGTTAATTTCATTTTCATATGTTGATAGTAAAGTGGTTTAATTACATTTTTAATGTAATGCAGTACTATATGCAGAAAGGAATTTAAAAATGATGCTAGGAGCCATAGGATTAATAACTATCCCATTAGAAATGTACATTTTGAATAAACATTACATGAAATACGTTTCAGCCAATACAACAAATGCATTCTAAATAATACACAGACATTTTCTTAAATAAAACACAAATCAATAAGACCTCAAAATCATATTTTAAAATTGTAAATCATGTTGCATGAAAAATTACAAAGTAGTTTGAGTTAGATGTCACTTTTTTGTGAATCATTTATAGCTTAGTATAATATATAAACCCTATCATTATGGGTCACAGGTCAAAGGCCATATGTTTTTTATTTTATTGAACTACTATTTTATGAACTTGTGTAGGTAAGTTTGGTATCAAACTGTAGATTATAATTCAAATTTTAGTATTATACATTACTCTATTTCTTGATTTAAAAGCAAGTATTAAAAACACTTAAACATTGACTTTTGTGTGTCATGTGATATGTTGAATGTAGCAATGGTTCAAATTAGATGTTTGTGATGTTAAAATACAAAGTCTATAGTTTCGTATGAATTAGGAACTCAATTACCAATATTATCAAGCTAGAATATAAAATAAGAACCTCCTATATTTTCTATTTGCTAAGATATCACTCATGTACTGACTCAAACACAGAGGCCCTGCTCACCTCTTTCCATTTTTGAAAATGCTCCCTTATGTACACTTACTTCTGTCTATGACATGTGAATAACCAACTGAATGCTCAGAATGTCCCCTTAGTGGCTTTCTCAGCCATTTTCAAGTGTTAGGACACAATCTTGTCCTTTTGAAACAAGATTTCAAGGAGGTAGGTTGCATCATTAATCTGCTTGAAAGATCATATTTGTTTAGTCTGAAATACAGCTTAGTTACTAAGCTTGATAAATTTTAGTGGAATTGATATAGTAATTTATGATTTTTTGGTTATTAAACTGTAAACACCTAAAAAAAATTATTTTGTTTCATATCCTCCATGTGCAAAATTTTAAAAGGCTTAGCAACCTACATCAAGCAGCAAGCAAGTACAAAGGTCGTAACTAGAAGAGATAACAGTTTGCTTTACTTTTTTTATTTACTGTACTATGTTTTAATAAAAATAATTTTAGGAATTTATTTGTAAAAAGTAATAAAGTATATACATATATATTGTATTATAACTGAAAGGTGAGTGTATTTTACAAAACGCTAGTCTACTAAAACACAGCCAAGACAGGTCACTTTTCAAAGACCAATTTTATATTCTTAGATACAGTAACATGAATGCATGTGCACCACACATTGTAATTTCTATATTGTTAGCCAGGCACGACTGGAAGGTGAATATAATAAATATATATAAATGTATAATGTTATGAGATTTAAGCTATTTATATTAAACATTTGTGTTTTCTTGTTATAATCTGTAGTCATTCTAGAACAAAAAAAAACAAATATATATATATTTTTATGGTGGTTATGAGGTCAGTCAAATTGACAGACCCTATGTAGTTGGGGTAGAGAAAATAACAGACAAAATATAAAGTGTCACTGAAAACAAATGTTTGAAGTGTGTTTAGGAGGTTTTAGAGATTACACAAATAATATTTGAGATTTTTGGGACGAATAATAGTTTTTTAATCATAACATGAAAATCACTTCGCACTCGGACTAGTAACGAAACAGACTCAATATTTTCAAAAACAAATCTTTAAAATAAACTGATTTTCTGTGTACAAAAGACTTGGAATCATTACTAAAAATCTACTACATTTTGTGAAGATACATATACTGCATTAAAAGTTATAGTGTAAATACTTAACATGTGCAAGTGTGTATGTGAACTCTTGTATTTTATACCGAGCCCGTCGCAAAAGTTTAACACAATTTTCAAAATTTAGAAAAATCTTTTGATTCTAATATTCATGGTTCATAAGCTTTAACTCAGATTATACCAATCATGATAAAGCAATACTGTTAATGGATTCATTAATTTCAGTTGCAACTGTAGCTATTCAACATGCAGCAGGATATTTGCCAGAGAGTGCTTACTCTGGATACCTTAACTATAACAACACAGACAACATGTTTATATGTAAGAAGTTAGAAAGAAACTTACTCTTCAAGCCAATGCTGCTGGTGTCCAATGATGGACCCTGGTCGACATATTCTTATCCACGCGATGACTTCTGCAGCAGTAAAACGATAGTGTTTCATAATATAACATCCAATGAGAGTTCCTGTTCTACCAAGTCCAGCTTCGGGAAAAAATAAAACTTCATAGTGTTTCACTTGCAATAGAAAGCTCACAAATAATTAAGCTTGATGGCAAAATTAAAATGCAATGCAGCATATGTTCACTGTACTTTTACATTTTAGGGCATGTTTTCATTGGAGCTTTTTCATATTCAGTTTAGTTCATTTGGAGAACAGTGTGATCAACAAAGTTTAACTGGCAAACGAACCAAACTGAACTGAGTCCACTAGAAGAGGCATTCATGGTCATTTGGTAAAAAACAGTTTATTTCACTTGAAATAGTTTTAATATGAATATCAGAAGGTCTTGGTGAATGCTCACAAAACATTGGAAGTGGATCATGAAAACAAGCTCCAGTTGCGAACAAACGTGTGAAAAACTAGCATACTTAACTGAGGCCATCTGAAATGAACTCAGTATGATTCAAGTTTCAAAAACACAGAAGTGTTAAAGTTGTAAGTTTGTTTGTTTTAGAGCAAAACCACAATGGGCTATCAATACTTATTCTGATGTTGCGAGAAAATCACATGCCTGTGATACCATGTACTCAATATTTTGTGGAAGTACATTCAATATTTTAGATGCAGCTGAACTGAATGACAAACGCACTTGATAAATTCACCTCCTAAAACTTAGTTACCACTGAATTAATTTTTCCATACACTGTATTGTAACCATCTGTTACCAAAACCATGCACCTTTCCACTTCCAGTTTGTTTTCTTTCAAGAATTTGAATAAAACTATTGAGATGCTGTCCAAGTCACCTACAAACAATTCAAGGGTTTGGTTGAAGTATCTTATCACCACACATAGCTGATTTTCTGTACTGATGTCTGTTTTCGTCCATAGTTAAAAACATTTCTTTTTCTGAGGTCCTCAAGCATCTTCTGAAGAACACCAGGACTGATTATAGATTTTATAAGTGCTGAGCATTTTGTTTTGTGTAAACTAATATTTTTCTGTGCTGGAATGGCAAATAATACGAGCTACCAGCTCTAATTCACAAATATTAACAGAATTGTTAACTTGTACTTGCTTAAATTCCATGTCAGATAAGGTTCTCGTATTTGAAAAAGAAGCCACATTTCTAATACATTTCTCTTTCTTACTGTGAGCTAACAGATTACTGTGATGTGTTTGGACTTCACATTTACAGAACTGAGAGCTGCTTTTGAATAATTGTAGGTACACTGCTAATCCATTTTTTAGACTTTCTCCTAGTTTTTGCAGTAGTTTTTCCATATTTAGCCAACTTACCAAGTAGCATCTCTTATTAAAATTAAAGTCATTTTCTACTGCTTCCTAGCAGCTGTAACATTTCTACTTGTTGCTTAAAATGGCTGCTGTTAGTTTTAACAGACAATCAACTCTCTTACCCACAACCCATGTCAACTTACATGGTCATGTGCAACATGTGTGATTTGATTGGTACACAGCTTTAATAAAGTTAATGCATAGCTGGCTTGCTGAAAAAGTTATGGACAGGGGTAATTTGTTCAATTGAATACCTTTGTGACTTTTTTTTTTCTTGATAAAGTAGGTTAAATTAGCCCAAAAACCACAAGAACTTTGAAAAGTAGCCCAAAATGTAGTAACCCATGATTTAAATTATTCCTGCAACTGCTTTTTGAAGTAGCCCAATTCTGCAGGAAAATCACAGACCTGGCAACACTGGTGATAGACTAGAGGGAAGAAGCTATTTAATATCACCCACTACTAACTCTTTTCAGACAGAACAGTGAGATATGACCATCACTGTTACAACAAATCTGTCACCCCAAAGTGTAGTGCAAGTAGTTTATTCTTGGTAAAGGAGAGATGTCAGGAACTTACTTTTTGGTAGTATATGTGGTAATGTAAACATACTGGTGTGTTGGCCAAAGGATTCTTCTACAGCAGGTGTCTGTGACTTGTTGACGATAAATTCAACAATAAACGAACAGCACGCACTCAACTTGTTTTTAAAATATGTATTTGAAATAAGTTAAATGTATGTACAAAATTCTTTACACTTTGGAGATCATAGCTGTATCTTAAACACTATACAGTTCTTTTCTTCTTGTCAAAAGTGTGCTTAGGCCAATTCAATTGGTTTAGAATTCAGCTGACAAGCCAAACTATTTTTCTTTATCTTTATCCCAATAGTATCTGTGTATAATTAATTTATGCTGTTGCATGAGTTACCATAGTTGTATCCTGAATTTCCAATAATTGTCTACTTTTCGTCAAAGCCCACACACACGCGGGTTCACACGAGATAAATTTTTCTCCTTATCTTTTTCAAACTGTTAATCTCATTGTAACATATCAACCATTAAACCATTCACTCTCATGATGGTTACTTTATATTTTCTAACTTTTCTGTCTGATCGAACTTCCCTTTCACATGACTTTACTTTTTTGCACTTTCTGCTTGTAGCTATTTATATGTCTATCACTTAGGCCTTCTCCAAATCTCCATAGCCTCAACATCAATTAATTACAAACACAAAAAAAATTAATTAATAACACTACCTACACTAAACAGTCTTTTACATCTTACAAGCAAAAACTTCATATCGCAGTCCAGCACACTAACAACTGGGCTACGCTCAGCCCATAAAGGTGAATCTAACTGTTGTTATTCTGTCTCCCAGCCCTCTTCTGCAGTTACAGCCACAGTACATCAACAATATATTACTTACATATCTGTCAAATCACTTACTGCTTTAGCCAATCACTTAATAGTAGTTATACAAAAATTACCAAAACAGTTACATAAAAAAACTAATGACAAACTGAAAATAAGATTTACAGTATACAAAGACATAATATAAAAATTTCAAGTCTAAAATATACATTTCACCAGATTTTTTATTCAGATACATCTATCATCACAGATGGAAGCATGTTTAAACAATGTGCTCTTCCAAGAGTCATGGATATTAACAATGTACTCTTCAAAGTACTATAGACATTGACAAAGTAAACAATGTACTCAAAGTACTATCGATATTTACAAAGAAAACAATGTCCACTTCAAAGTACTATAGATATTGACAAAGCAAATAATTCATTCTTCCAAGTACTAAAGATATTGACAAAGATAATCACAATGAACATGTTCATTCACTTACCTTTACAATGAACTGCCAAAGCACCTTTTGCATTTTCTGCAATTTCTAAAAAAGCTCGCATGATCCCATCACTTGGAGTGCTACCATCAACAAAAAAAAGGTCCTTGTGATCAAACCCATTTTCTGAAAACCTGTGGGCGTCGTAAATCTTTTTGTTGAGTCTGACAATGGTTGTTACATTGTGTTTATGGAAATATGGAAAATATGACTCTGGAGAATGGAGTGGATATCCTAAATGATAGAAAAGAAAAATAAACAGTATATAACTATGACACTTATGCTCTACTTTTAAATGCTTACATATAGTATTCTTCATGAAATAGAAACTTCTCACGATTATATATATTATTTTCTTACCAACCAATTGAAACCTTACAATTCAACAGATATTAACATAAAGAAATTGTCTGTTTGTTACTAAGCAAACAGCTGTACAATGGGCTTATATGAGCTGTGCCCACAGTAAAGACCGAATCCTAAATTTTAGCATTATAAGCTTACAACTGGACCACAGATGAGGAGCAAATAATATATATTAAATATAAAAAAGCAGCAAAAAAGAGAGTATGTACAGCCTGTTTAGAAGTCTTGTATTTCTAATACTCTCCACAGCTTTCAGAAACTTAACAACATTTTCCAATGATGAGTTTGATATAGAAAGAAAAAACAAACTAAATCAGATGTCTAAGTCCATTTTCAGGGAGTCTAGGGGCTGAAAGAACCCAGCCATGAAGGGGTTTTAAGATATTACAACACTCTCAGGAGATGCATTTAGGGTCAACTTTACAGATTAAATGTCCATGGTTTTCTCCTTTAAAACTAGCACACTGACGTTCATTAAATGTTTAAGTACTTATACAAGTCCACCTACTTGGGTCAAACTATACAATCACTGGTTTTTACCTAAAAAGGCTTGATCTATTTCTGAAAATGTAGTATCTATATATCATAATTAGAAATATCTGCAAGGCTATAGTATGAGGTCCTAGCATTAAATTATGACTAGTTAAGTATTTTTTGACAAATTTCACAATATGCCTTTCCTTTCATGTCTATTTTTCTGATGAATTTACCAACAGCTTTTCTGCCAACCATAAATTTTAGTGATTCTAATTTACACACAATTTTAATGTCAATTTCTATGGTATCAAAATCACAATCAAAGATAAAACCTGCCATTTTCCCAACTTTGTTGTACAGTTGAATAATGAAATGTTTCATTGGTATTTATTTGACCAGGGTATTGGTATTAACCAATGAAATATCAGCTTACATATCTATAAAATTTAACTGGAGATGGCAAGATCATATATATGAATCAACCAGAAACATTTCAGAACATACGGTTGGACTAACCCTACCCCCCTGAAAGTTCACAAAAACTGGTCCTTGGCATGAGAAAATGTGGATTTTTACTACAAGTCTGAAAAAACAATTAACACTAACTTCTTTAGTTCTTACACAAACTTACTAACTAGCTTACCTTAGTAATATAATCACTATCTGTGGGGTCCATGTACTGTATAATATTAAGTAATTTTGTGTTTTTGACTTCTATAATACTCATTACAAAGAATTGATAAAAATGATTAAAATCACTTATATTCTATATAAAATACGCAGGATTAAAACCACTTATATTCTATATAAAATACGCAGGATTAAAATCACTTATATTCTATATAAAATACGCAGGATTAAAATCACTTATATTCTATATAAAATACGCAGGATTAAAATCACTTATATTCTATATAAAATACGCAGGATTAAAATCACTTATATTTTATATAAAATATGCAGGATTAAAATCACTTATATTTTATATAAAATATGCAGGATTAAAATCACTTATATTCTATATAAAATAAACAGGATTAGTGAGATTAATTACAATATTGACAATGTGTACACATTTCTAAGTGTGAATTTTGAGTTATTAGAAGCCAACAAAGTCACGGAATCGCAAACAATAAATAGTCTAGAGTAGTAATTCTCAACTGATGGGCCATGAGACCTGCAGTTATGGGAAAACTGTAAATACCCTAAACTAACAAGTCATCAACTGCATATGTAGGCTTTTACTACCATGTGAAAAAACTAATTGGTGTAAAAAGTTGAAAAACCCTGATCTGGCAAATATAGGGCCATCCTATTTAATTCTATGGTTAAAAACTTTGTAAATGACAAAGGAAAAGATATATATCTTCTAACAAAATGCAAGATACTAACATCACACACTTACCATTCTCAATTTTGCTCTTTGCATGAGGGCCACAAAATGCAATGAATTTCTTTGGTAATATCCAGTTTAGATCTCCATTTTCAACTCTCTGTAAAATGTTAAGATTTCTGCTCAACACAAAACCTTTCCTCTGGACATTAAAAAGTTATCTTCATTAGCTTCTTTAGAAAACATTGATTGTAATCATCTGGATAACAAATAATACTTAAAACTAATCTATAGTATTAATCCTATCAAGTTTGTTCATCCTATGGTCAGGGATGTCTCATCATGTTTGGAGACTTACATTCAAAATTTTATTGAACTACTATTTTATGAATGTATGTAAATAAGTTTGTTATAAAATTGTAGATAATAATTTTAATTTTAATATTATACATTAGCTAATTTCTTGATTTAAAAGTAAATATTAAAACAAAATTCCTAAATATCAATTTTTGTATGTCACGTGGTATGTTGAATGCAGCTTTGGTTCAAATTAGATGTTTGTGACGTCCAAATACAAATTTAATAGTTTCTTACAAATTAGGAACTCAAATTATCAATATTGACAAGCTATAATATAAGATAAGAGCCTCCTATCTTTCTATTTTCTGGGATATTATTATATTTAGTAAATCAACCAAGGTGGTCTCACCCACCTCTGCCATTTTTGGAAATACTTGTTGAGATACACCTACTTCATCCAATGACATATTTAAAACCAATCTAAAGCTCAGAATGTCCCCCAAGTGGCTTTCTCAGCCTCTGTGTTTACACATAAAACCCTTTCTTTTCATTGTAGAATCAAAGAAGTAAGGTAAAACATTATGGAGCTCAAAAATCATATTTTTTAGACTGAAATACAGCATAGTTACTAAGCTTGATAAATTATAGTGGAATTCTGTGGTATTGATATAGTAATTTATCCTTTTTTTAAATTTCAAAATGCATATATAAAACTTAAAATAATTTTGTTTTACATCCTCCTCATGTGAAATTTGACAAGGCTTAACAAATTACGGCAAGCAGCAAACGAGTACAAAGTTTGTAACTAGAAGAGATAATTGTTTTCTATACTTCTTTATTTACTGTTCTATGTTTTAAGAAAAATAACTGAAATTTAAGAACTTATTTGCAAATAGTAATAATGTATATACATATATAACGTATTATAACCAAAATGCAACTATTTTACAAAATACTAGACCACTACAACAAAGCCAAGATAGGTCACTTTATAAAGGCCTGTTTTATGTTATTGGATACGGTAACATAAGTGTTATTGCAACTTCTGTAATGTTAGTCAGACACTGCTGAAAGGTCAATAAAATATAAATAATTAATATATACATGGTGTCCACAAAGTCTTGTTCCGGTTTTTAAGTTTACTACAACAAAACCAAAAGAACTAGGATTATGCAGTTTTTAGAACCTCAACTAAGGAAGTTTTTTTTTCTTGATTTACAGATTGTAATCCAAGCATCCAGTTCCTACTGACTGAAGTTTGAACAAAGATGGCAATTATACAGGAGAAAGCTCAATGTTTCATCTAGTTTGCAGAGTCAATATCAGTGATAACTGTTGAATGGAAATACTATCATCAATATGGCAAGAATCCTCCCTCCAAACCCACTATTAGGAGGTGGTTTCACAAGTTTTGGGAAACAAGAAAAGTGTTTGACGTGCCTTAATGTGGATGTCCAGTTGTTTCTGAAGAAACCATTGCCAATATCCAGGAGACATTTCAACATAGCCCTAGAAAGTCTATTCGTTGTGATTCAAGTGAACTCCAGCTACCAAGATCAAAGGAACGCAAAGTCCTACACAAGAGATTTATTCTGTGAAGTCATTTGGATATTGTCTGATAGATGGGATATTCCCACTGCATTTGGTGCTATTATCACAGACATTATCCATTATGACAATAAGTTGGCAATCAGGACCGATAACGGTATTGCGATATTTAATTCATTATTGTTTTATAGTGCTGATTTAGTCGGCTATTAACAATTAATGCAATTAATAGTCTGTAAGCTATTTATATGTATATAGGGTGTCCAAAAGTCCAGTTTCCAGTTGCTACTGATTGAAGTTTGAATGCAAATGGTGCTGATGTCAATCTAGTCATCCATCATGGAAAAAAAAATCAAAAATCAAATAAGGGTATGAAGCCGAGTGCTTACACCCACAATGTCTCAGCTTCCACTGCCTTTCACTGTCTATAGCCAGTTGTGGGAAATCAGTTACCCTTAAATTTCTTAACGTAGAAATGAAATTGAAATAAAGCCACCCTGATATTTCTACTTATTAAACTCCCAACCCCCACCCTTGCAAAAAATATATTAAATAGAACTATACATCCTACCTTAAAAGATCTTATATAGTTCTAACTCCCAACCTCCTCCCTTTCTCCTGAATATTTATTAATGTATAACATGAAAACACCAAGACAAGCCCAACTACATGAAGTTAGTCTTTCCGCTCCGGTTATACTGAATAAAATTACTAAAAAATTATTATTAGTTACTTATAAGCTAAAATAACTAACTCAATCTATATTTTATTTATAAGATATTTTCCTTAATCGATAGTCTAGTTTCTAAAATATTTTTATATTTTAAAAAAAATAAAGTAATGTATTTCTTTAATTGCCTGTCTCTATAGCCATTATCTTTAACTTTCTTTTTTAATAACAAAATATTATCCATAAAAAAATTATAGTTATTACATACTATTAAAAATCGTTTTAATTGGGGCATAATATTACCTTTTAACATGATACACGAAATAACACTATTAGGTGTGGGTAGACGAAGAATTGGAAAATTAAATTATCTTCTTTTATCAAAAATAGTCAAATGCACTGTACCCTCTATAATAGTAATGTCCAAATCTAAATAATTAGTATGGACCTCATTATTATTATTATTACTTCTTTCTATTGTAAGTTCTGTTAGATATATTAAGTTTGGTGTAAAATTCATATTA